GCCTGGGCCGGGAGGGGGTGGGTGTATTTTTCTTCCCTGCGTGGGCTGAAGTGAGCCGCCGGGCCAGGGTCTCCTCGGCCCTGGGGGCTTCCAGGCTCTGCTCCTGGCTCTGCTCCCCGCCGTGGGGTCTGGGGACAGCGGTCGTGCCAGGCTTTGCCCAACGCTTGCTTGTCCTCGGCCGGGTCGAAGCGTGGGGCATCCCGTTGTCGCCGCGGGATCTGCTACACGTGGCCCTGGCTGGAAGTGACTTACTGAGCACGTTGTAGTTGTCCCGAAAGGCTTCACGAGGCCAGGTTTTCCACAGACACTGTAATTCACGGCTCTGAAGAGGTTACAGGTGTGGGTTTGTGGCGGTTAGTCATGAGAGGAGAGTCGTAACCCTGGGCTGAGTTCCCAGCTCCTGCTTGTTGGCTGACCTTGGGCAAATTACTTTTTCTCTGTGTGCTCAAAGTGCACATCTGCTGATTTCGTACAGTAATCGAGTGCTCTTGGGGGTCTGAAAAGCTATAGAAGTAGAAATGCAAAGTGAAGCTAGAAAACGACGTTGACCTTGTCTTGCGGTGTGCTTCACTGAAGGCCAAAGTCAGGTCTCCGTTTTCTTGCAGTACCTTATCTGGGACGGCAGCGCTGTTGACGAGCGTTTTGCAGAAAGGCCTTGGACTGACAAGGCTGTAACAAATATCTACAAAGCCTGTTGGTAATGGAGCAGGCCACCAGGGTTACACGTTTCCCCGTAGCACCGCTCTGCAAGGTAGGACGATACTATTGCCCCGACTTGGGTGGGAAACTGAGGACCAGAGCACTCCAGCAGCTACCCTCAGGTTGCACAAGAAGCTTGCAGCAGAGCAGGAGATGCTGCTCAGAGCTCCTTAGTCCCAAGCCGGCAGCTTAACCACCGGGCCTTCCTGCCCTCTGGGTGTGCTTTTCTTCGTGTTGTTAGTTCGACAGAACTGCTCACTCTGAATTTGTACTAATTGAGGCTCCTGAGCTGAGGAGTTTATAGTTTAATTCAGTTGTCCTGGGGGCATACTGAAGGGATGGAGACTTCCTGAGCTGCTCTGCAAGGAGACCTTGTTGTAAAACCAGGTTTTAAGACTTTCTAGAAAAGGTAAACAGAAGTGTCTGGTAGCCAGAGGGGGAAGGCTTTTCTAGCCTCTGAAGCTTGTAGAAAGTGGAGATGAGAGTCAAAGAAGCAGAGATCAGAAAGAGATCATACAATCGGTGTGGAGGAAGGAGTGGAATTGGGTGCTGCCTTGAAAGCGATGGTTCAGAGCATGAATTTGTGTTGTGATGAAAACGTGAAGCCTGAAGGGTGAGATTGGCCCAAACACCCTTTTTACCTCACATGCGAGCAGCAGTGGTCTCTGCTCATCATGACTTGTCGATGCAGAGTTGTGATGGAGACAGACTGGGGGCAGCAAACGGCCCCGAGCAATGTGGCAACTTGCTCTTAGCAGATTTTGAGTGATGTGGGGATTATTTCTTCTTCAGTGGAAGAGCCTTTCTATCACATCCAGACTGCTGCTCAAAAATTCCCCTTCCCAGCTCTCAGGACCCTGAGGAAGCACTGATAACAAGGACTGGCTTGACTGGTTTGCAGCTCTGCAGAAATCTCATGGACTTACTCACTCACTCTGGAAAAGGTTCATAAGAGACTTTTCCACAACGTTTTCTTTCTCTTGGAAACTCACTTTCTGCACTAACCGTAAGAAATAAAAAGCTGCTGCCTTCTTGGGTGGTTTAGGTGTTGCAGGAGCAGGATGCAGCCTCCAGGCTGCCCTTTTGCAGGGGCAGGGACCGTGTGTGGCTGCTCAGGCACTGCTCTCGCAGCCCTGCGAGCCGCAGCAGGGCCTGTGGGGTTTGATGTGTTGAATCGTGGGAGACCAGTCACCTTCTGGAGACCGCCCAGCTCTAACCCGGAGATACTGTGATCTTTCTCACCTGTTTTGAAAGGTGGTGTTTGTGTCCTCAAGGGCCCTGTGAGCTGACCCCAGACAGTTCATCTGCGATGCTTTCTGGAGGTGTGACTGCGCTTGGGCAGACCTGCCTCAACTGGCTTTAAACTCGCTTGTTCAGGCACCGATAGCCAGCGTAACCACAGCGGCGTGGTTGCTGGTGAAGGCTCACCAAAGCCCCCAGAAGTCTGGCAGCAGGCACTCCCATAGCTGTCTTGTTATCTGTTCCCAAACTAGTCAGCTTTAATCCAGCCGGGATAGGTCTGCGCCAGGTTGTGGTTGTACCAACACTTGCAGTGTGGAGGAACCAGCACCTTCTCTTGGATCTCAATTCACTCCTTGTTGTAAGCCACAAGTCATCCCCTCTGCCATCGAGCAGCACATACCTGCCCTCTGGCACAGGTGGAAGAGGGATGAAGTGTTTCATTGTGTATTTTTACCTTAATAAACTCCCCAGAGATGTTTGCTTCTGGGGAGAATCTGTCTCTTTGCAGTCTGTTGGCATCCTGCATAGGAAAATGGTTAGCGTGTGTTTTTCGAGCAACAGACTCTCTAAAAACAAAGGCCACTGACTAGTTTTGATGTTTTCTTTCTAACGCACAGTCCATTTTATTCAAAGGTTGAGGTTTTCTTGTTTGGTTTTTTTGTTTGTTTGTTTGAAAATAACCTCGGTGGTGTTCCCTTGCAGATGAGCGAAGACTTCCCCAGCCTCAGGAGCCCCAGCTGAGCTCTTACAGAGCCTTCTGATCCAGCCGAGCCAAGAACTTTGTGCGGGTAGAGGACGTGAGTCAACAAATGGTCTCTGTGAGTTGCCAGGAGCTGCACCCCTCCTTGACCAGCTCTTCCCTGCTAGAGAGCTTTGCCAGCGCTCTGCAGCGCAGCATGCCGCCCTCCCTTCTGCCGGGCCACGGCAGCGAGAAGGCGTCCGGCCACCCGGCAGGCTCTGGCCATCTCCTTGCGGGCAGCACCAGCCACTCTGAAGGCGCCCCGCTCCTCCTGCCTGCTGCAAAGGGGGAAGACACGAAACAACCCCAAGTCACCGTCTGCGAGGCTCACTTCAGGCTGCCCGATTTCTGCAGCAGCCTCTCCCAGGACTTCATTCCCACCTTGGAGGAGATTGAGGAGTTCCTAAGGGAGAAGGCCGAGTTCCTCAAAGACGAAGCAAGCGAGCTTCACCCAGCTGGAGGGAAGGTGGAGATCAAATCTGAGATCAGCTTAGGCAGCTCTGGGGGACAGCCTGTCTCCGGTGTGGTTCAAGAAGATAATGTCTCAAATGCTGCTCAGCCTGGAGGGACAGCTGATGGCAGTGACCAGGCGGTAGCTGCTGGGAGCATTCCTGTTGTCCTCCAGATCCAGCCCCTCCAGATGGACAGTGGCAGCCCGCTAGCACAGAGTGCCACCGGTGGGGTCAGGGTGGCCCAGCTGGTTATCAGCTTGCAGGGCCAAAACCTGTCGCTCCTCCCTCAGGTCCAGCCCCCTGTGACCATCATGGACCAAAAGTATGTCAGAATTGCCCCCCTACCAGTCGCCACGAGGCCAGGGGATGGGCAAGAGGTGGAGGCAACCCTCAAGTATCAGAAAGCCCCCCCTTCCCTCGTCCGGGTCCATAAGTGCTCGCACCCAGGCTGTGGCAAGATGTACACCAAGAGTTCCCACCTCAAGGCTCACTTTCGGCGGCACACGGGCGAGAAGCCCTACACGTGTGCTTGGCCCAACTGTGGCTGGCGGTAAGTGGGAGCCGCGGGACTCTGCGCGAGCGGGTGTCCCCACCAAAGGCCTGCCGTGGCTCGCCAAGATGCGGGAGAGCTCTGAGAACCCAGGATAAAAATCACAAGTTTTCTCTCCCGAGTGAACTATAGGTGAGAGCTGGAAGGAGGCCTGGAGGAGTAAAGTTTGTTGAGTGCTTTGGGTAGTTGACACTCAGTCCAAAAGTGCTGAAAACCTCCAGCTGAGGAAGCGTAGCTGACACTCTCCCAGACCCCCCAAATGAACTGGATGCCTAGACGCCCTCTGACAATACAGCTTTTCCAAGTGATGTAACTTTGCAAGCTTTCTCTGTCTAGTTCAGGACAATTCCTGCAGCTGGGCTACAGAAAAGGCTTTTCCCGTTTATATTTGTCCCAGGAAACAGGACTCTCACTGCTTCCTCAGGAACCAGCGCGTAGTTCTGTGTTTGTTTAGCAACCCTTTGTTTTCTCTTGCTCTCTGCCTGCCCTGCTTGTATCCCTCTGACACCTGTGGGCCTGCAGCAAATCTCCATGTTGCATTTCCTGCTGTTTGCTCTGCACATGAAGGTGGTTGTCGTTTTCTTTCATCTGTGTTCCCTAAATTAACCCTGCTTTTTAATCTTGCTGCACTTCTCTGGTTGTTTTTCTGCGGTGGTGTTCGCTTCCTGGTACCATGTACCCATCCTGGGGGGCAGGATGCTCCGTGCGGCCTTTGGCAAGACGGGCTAATAGTCCTCAGGTCTTGTGTAGCACTTCTCCTCAGCAGATCTCTAGCGTATCCCAAAGAAAACTGGTGCTGGCAGCACGGAGCTTTCCTGGTTTCTTCTGCAATGCTTTGGCACACGCTCACCGCCTTGTTTCCCTGGATGGTGCGTTGGGGCTTCTGTCTCGGGGTGGTGAAACTCAGGAAGGTATGAGACTAGATCTGGGTTTTGGGACTCCCTCTTGCCAAGCTGCTCTCCCTTTGCCATCAGCAGTTGTCCCTCCATTTCACCTATAACTGCGGTACCCGCTTATAAGCCTCGGCTGCTGTTCCAGTACCAAACTAAACCCTCCTGCACCCGACGCTCAGAGCCTGGGGACTGAGGAAGGGGACAGTGGCAACGCACAGGGGTCACTTTTCCCTCTGGGAAGGAGGAAAGGGATGGTGCTAGCCTGTACGGGAGCATCCTGCAGGCTGTGCTCTGCTTCACTTGCTGCCCTGCCCTCCCCCTCCGCAGGAGCGGTTCTACTACCGATGTACGCGGCTGCGGTTCTCCGGGCCGCGCTCCCTTCTCTAGTTGTGGCCCTAACTGCAAATATATGTGTCACTTCTCCTGGCCCTGCTTTCCGTGACGAGCTGAGACCTTGGAACTCGCCTCTCACAATAAAGCTGGAAAAGAAGTCAGTGGTTTGCACAGGAGACCTGAGGGTGGCCTTGGGATGCGTTTTGTTTTCGCAGAGCCTTTTGGGAGCAGCCGCAGTATTTACCGTGCCAGGTGTGAGCTTGAAATCCTATCGCTGGGAGTCTGGGGTTACATCTGAAGCTCCTTGCTTTGTGCTTCTTTGCGTGGGCATGTTTCAGCCAGAATGGAAAAACCCTCCCGTCCTAATACTCCTGCCATCTGTGTTGGCTCCTTAGAGGCTGAACAGGAGTAAACCCTGCCCCGTGCTCCTCTCCAGCACTCCGCTGCCGCTCAGACATGCAAAGCGTGCTGAAATCACGCCAGCTCCCAGGCCCTGTTGGGACCTTTGAGGTGGCACTCCTCAAACAGCTGCGGACCGACTTGCTGCAGGTGCCCCCAGGTCTGGATCTGTGTGGGCCAGGTGGAAGAAAGGGTGCAGGAGAATGACGTGGGGGCTTGAAAGTGGTTAAAGGGACTTTCCAGGCTGCCCAGCTGATCTGCTGCAGGTGTGGGCATTACCCAGGCAAGCGGGCTGAACACCGGGTGCACCCTCAGAACAGCAGTCAACCTGCTTCGGCATGGAAACCTCTGCTTCTGTGCTCCACGCTGGGTGCGTTTGCTCTTCCTCCCTTGTGCTCAGTGTTTAAACCAGCTCACGGGCAGCTTCTCTCTCCCCAGCTCCCAGTCCAGCCCAGGCTGGCAGTGAAAGCTTGCTGCCTTCCTGAGAAACGAGGGGGTGCTCAGAGATTTTTTTAGGGGGAACCTATGCGCTCTCAGGAAAAAACAAGCCTTCTCGCAGCAGCGATGCTCTTCTTGGCTGGATGTGGGTGTTAAGGTAAAGCCTCTCCACCCAGGCTCCTGAACGGTGTCCTTTAGTCACAGCCAGCTTGGGCTCGTGCCCCAAAAAAGCCATTTCTCTCAGCATCTGGCCTTGGGGCTGTCAGCTCCCCGAAGGTTTCAGCAAGTCTAAACCAAACAAGGGATGTAGGTGGACATTGTCCTTTAGGAGCACGGGAAACGAATGAAGATCTCAGTGGGTGAATTCTTTTTCCTCTGTCCTATCCCTAAATCACCCCTTGGAGGGGTTTATTTCTTTCCATCCCTCCAGCAGGAGCCTGGGGTACCTGCGCCTCACTGGTAGGTTGGATGGAGCGGAGCAGAAGTGACCTGCCTGGGGTCACCCCAAGAGGCTGTGGCAGAGACAGACCTCAGCCTCCCGGGTGCTGGGGCCCTCAGGTTCCCTGTCCTGCCTAGCAGCGAGGGCTGGATCCACCATGCTTCCCTTCTCCTGCAGGTTTTCCCGGTCGGATGAGCTCTCCCGTCACAAGCGCTCCCACTCGGGTGTCAAGCCGTACCAGTGTGCTGCCTGCGAGAAGAAGTTTGCCCGCAGCGACCATTTAGCCAAACACGTGAAGATCCACCGGGGCCAGCCGTACAGCCAGGGGACGCTTCAGGGGGGCAGCAGAAGTTAAGTCTCGCTGCTCCTCCTGGCGAGGCTGAGTCCAGGAGGCCCTGAAGCCGGGCAAACAGCGCAAAACCCACTACACCGGTGAAGAGGGGGACATGACTCTCTTTAGCGAATTACAGGCGGTCCAGTGCGACACCTCTGTTCAAGGATGACCTGTATTCGTGGCCTGTTTCTGGTCCTACTGACCCTTTCTTAAATACAGGTGGTGGAAGTTAATTCAGGGTGAGCGTGTGTGTGCAGGGCAGCGGGGCTGGGGCGGAGGACAGCGTTACGAGGTCCCTTTGCGCAGCTTGTAGGTGTCACCTGCCCGCCTCAGCGTGACGGGCAAGAACTGGCTGAGAGGTCTCCGTCCCACCGCGGGGCATCCCCTGGGCTGCTGCAGCTGCCAGTCCCGAGGCTCTGCGTCAGCAGCATTTCAGAGGCGGCCAGAGAGGGTTTGGTTTGTTCTGGCTGGACTCGCTCAGGACCCCGCGTCCCTGAGCCCACCTGGCGGGGCGGCGTCCGGGCAGAGCCCTGGGTGGAGGCGGGGGGCTGGTTGTGTTGTGCAGCAGCGGCGGGGGCTGGAGGCAGGCGTTGGGGACGGCTTTTCCACTGTGGTGGGGGTGGTGGTTGTGTTGTCCCTCACTGTTCTTTTCTGTGTCGGTGGTTTTTCACCTGACTGCCCTCGAGCGTGCTGGCGCCCTCGGGGAGCGTGACGTTGGAGGCCGGGGGGGGGGAAATGCATCCGATCAGCTCGCTCGATGGCGCGTGGTGAAAGGGGGTCAGGAGAAACTTAAGCGGCACCAGCAAAGTCCCTTTTTCACGGGCTGGCGTGGCAGAAGAGCGGCATGGAGAGACACCGGTGGGTCTGGACCCCCAGAAGAGCTGCACGCCCCGCTCGGGGGGGGAGCAGTGCAGCTCACAGGTTGCTGACGTCCTTTTTGTATTTGACTTCTGGTTAATTAAAGGCCAACTCCTTGCTACTGCGCCAACTTCCCCAGCTTTTGCAAACATCTGGGAGGCAATTAGGTGCTTGTACAAACAAAGAGTAAGCGTCAGGAGTTTGAGCTAGGCAGGGTGCCCTTTCTACGTGGCTTTGTCAGCGTGTCTCAAGCTGATATTTAGCGCCTGCAGGCTCTTTTCAACTCGGGTTTGCTCGTGCCTTTCTGCTGTTCCCCCAGTGCTCTTCCAGAGTAGGACTTTGCGTACTTGTCTCACACTGCCCTTGAGCTGGCTTTAGTGAGGAGTGTTGGGTTGTACCCAAATTAAGGGCAAGGAAATGAGCTCAACTCTTTTCCCTGCCCTGTGGAGGGCATGTTTGTACAGCAAAGAGGTTGTTCTCTGGTCCCCGCAGCCCTTTTCGAGCGATGGCTCCTGGGAAGGAAAAAGCCAGACTGGTGGGGATGGATGTGGTGTCCTGCTCCAAGGGTTGTCACAAGACACCAAACTTCTGTGCGAGAAACCCAAGCTTGTGAAGCCGTCGTGTGGCTGGAGATGTTCGCTGTTGGTTTGTTGTTTTGCTCCTTCCTCAGCGCAGTGACCGGAGCTCTTCCAGCTTTGCCGAGGAGCTACCGCAGCGTGACCTCAGGGAAAGAAGGAGCAAGGGAGCTGAAAATCCTTGGTTTGTTCTTAGTCTAGAGTATTTGGGGATGCTGGTGCTGCCCCTGAAGGAGATGCTGCTGCTGCGGAGATTTAAGACGGATGGTGTAGGCCACGTTCCACCAGAGGCTCTCTGGTGCACTGAGGGTTCCCCATGATGAGCTCATTTCTCCTGCTGTTCGTTGTTCCAGTGCTGCAGGGCCATGGTCCAGCCCAGACCTGGTGCTGCGGGTCGCTATACAAGCACCGAAGAGAAGGGTCCGCTGCCCCCATACCTTTGGCCCCTGCAAACAGCAAAAGTTTCTCTAAAGCGAAGACTTCGCTGTGCAGAAATGATGTTTCTGCAGGGCAGAAGCGTTACGAAAGCTGGCTTGGGGTTTGGATTCCTCGTTGTACAAACAAGCAGGCCAGCAGCTGAAGGAAGGCTCGCTGGCCACCTTCCAGCCGCAGCGTAGCGGGGAACCGACTTGTGGCTCCCCCAGCTGCAAGGCTGCAGCGTGAGCCGCAGCGAATGGATCTGCTGTGAGGTTTCCAAAGAGCTGGCGTGCCCGGGTTGCGTGTTTCCCGGAGAACACCTGCACTGCTGGCTTTCCTAATCCCCAGGCGGGAGAGCAGGGTTTGCGACAGGAATAGCTGGAGCCACGCTGCTCGACTTCAGATCCAAGCTTTCCCCAAAGGTCTGGTTGCTGGATCCCAGCTTAAACTCCTTAATCCTTAGCTCATAAGTGGGTAGGTGTGGATAGGCTGAACAGAAAGTAGCTGCCTGCAGCGGGGTTTCTCTCCTGCGTGTGCAAGTGGAAGTGTGTAAGACCTGCAAGCCTCACGTTGACTCTTTGGAGGGAGCTCTCCCCTCTGGGGAAGGACGGCAGCGATTAGCTGGAGATCTGGGCCTGCCTCGGGCAGCGAGCGCTCTCCCGACATGCCGTGAGTGCTCCCACCTCCGCCCTGGCCTGGCCAAGTGTGACCAGATGCCAGCAAGAAACGCAGCCCGAGTCGGCGTGATGCTGAACCTTTAACCGTGAGCCAGAGGAGGCAGGTATGCAAGAGCCTATTTTGGGTTGCCTTTTATTTTAGTGGATTTTTGCCCGACTAGGAATTTACTTCATACCCTCTTTGCTTGAGGGCTCTCTTCAAAGGCCACGTGCCAACATGACTCATGCCCATCTCATGCTTTTATCTGTCCCCCTTTGCTCTTCTCCCTCGTTCCAGACTCTTTCACAGCACTCCCTGTTCTTTTTGGACCTGCCCCATCCTGCCTCCCTCCGCTCTCAGCCGAAGGCGACTGGGGAGATTGCGTGTTTCCAGACTGTGGAGCAAGAAGAGCTGTGCCTCGTCGTTAGGCTGAGGCCCTTCTCTGTTCTCCAGCAGCTCCTCTGCTGAGCAGCTCCCACAGGGTCCACGCTGGTCCTGGGGTGGATCTGCCGGGGAAGACAGGGCTGGGAGCGCTGGCAGCGGTGACTTGCAGCTTACTTGGTTTGTTTTGCCATTCCTTTTAAACGAACCGCAAAGGGAGGGGAGAGATTTTTATAAAATAAAATACCGTAGATACATATCTCTTGTGCAATGCGTATTATAGTCTCACCTGCTTCCCTCTGGGGACTTTGGATGAATGGCTTAAAAGGTTTACTGAAGGCTCTGTAATTACCTCTCCTTTGCTCCAGTGAGGATATTACTCCACAGCAGAAACATTCATCGTGGAAGTACAGATGAGATCTGTGGCATCAGGAGAGAGGAGGACCCTTCTGTCTTCCCACGGGCAAAAAAAAAGACACTGGAGCTGCCAGGAGGTGACACAAGCTGCCCTCGTGTCACCGAGGCCGCTGGGTTATAACCCTGGCTCCGTCTCGGATGGTGCTGCTCAGTGAACGGGGCCGCCTGCCTGCCGCGGCTTCCCTGGTGGAGGAGCGGGCATGGGAGGAACCGGTTGCCTCGTGCTCGAAGTGCAAAGGCTGTCAGGTTGCTAAGCAGTGCTTTTTGAGAATCGAAATGCGAGCAGACAGGAGTTGTGGCAGGGCAGGATGTGGGAGAGCACAAAGAGAAAATTCAGGCGATGTTTCTAAATTTGCAGCTGTGGCTCTGGATATAGCAGTGCGCAGTGCAGAGCCCTCCATCTTCGGCAGCCTCCGTGACAGCACTGACATCCCCAGGCTGCAGCCCACGTGGAGCTCGTGCTGGCTGCTCATCCTTGGGGATGAGATAAGGGCCAGCACAAATCCACAGCTTGGTTTAAGGCCCCTTTGGAAACGTATCTCGAAGGTGGATCATAGCGTTACGTTTTTCTTTTTCTTTTTTTTTTCCCCAATAGAATCAGAGGTGGATTTTTATTAATGATTCTCCCTTCCAGAGTACAGTTTTATTTGGGGCAAATGCAATTCTTTCTCCTGGTGGTTAAGCAGCAGAAGCTGGCTTGGGGCAGGGAGCAAACTGGAGTTTTCTCAGAAGAACGTGGGGACATGGTTCAAGCTCTTCTGGAGCCGTGGCTAAGCACAAAACACGACGGTTCCTTGCGGAGAAGTGGGGGGTATCATGGCTTTGTGCTGCAGCTGATGCAAGAGCTCACACCCGATGCTCTGCTCGCCTCTCCCTGGAGCTCCTGCCCTGGGAACAGAGGGGTTAAGGGCACAGCGAAGCTTAATGAACAAAAGAGCTAAATTAAAACAGCTGGCTGGACTTGGCCTGGCCCTGCTGGATGACTTACTGCTTCATAATCAGCTTTCTAAGTAGGCACAAGTCCGCTCTCAGGGAGGCTGGAGCAGGGAAGAACATCCCTGCCTGGGAATGAGGCTAAGGAGCGAGTGGCCAATGTTCATCGCTTGGCCCGCGGGGCTCGGTGATCCCGACCCCAGGCTGGACGCTTGTTTTTAGCGTGGACTTCGGAGAGGGAGTTTGCAGGGATGCACCTTCCCTAGGAGCTGCTCTTTGCTGCCTGTGCAGGTAAAACACTTCCCTTTCTGACGTTTTGTCCAAGCTGCCTTGCTGGGGGAAGGTTCCCAGCTGATGGGATAAATAAACCCCCTTGGCTGGAGCCTGGTGGGAGAGGACAGGAGGGGACGGACACGGCATGTGGCCAGCCGTGCCATTCCTTGTTCTTTGATCCAGGAACTGGGCAGTGGTACAGAAGGGGCTTATCCTTCTCTGCTTCCCTGGAAAATCCACCCAGATAAAGCCTTTCTTGGCTTAGAAAGTACATGGTGGGAGGGGGGGGAAATCAGATATGTGATTCAACATTGACGGATCTGTGTTCGTTTTTGGAAATGTTGGCTTTTCTCTGCAGATTACACCAATTTCTCTCCAAGTGCAGTTTCACAGCTCCTTGCTAAGAGAGCTGAGCGCGCTGCAGTCTGCTTCTCACCTCTTCTATTTCAGACCTTGGGTTGTTTGCACAAACAACAGGCTCTGAAATGAAATTCTAGACGTCATTTGGCT